GACACTACCAATACAGGAGGCAGTATACGTAAATTTATAGATAAAATATCGAATATAATAACCCGAAAAAACAATTAAAATGAATAATCCAAGCTCGGCAATGGTACTTGTCGTATCCCGTGGGTGGTGACTGCAAAGTTTCTGTGCAATACTCCACTATGTTCCTGGAACGGCAAAGCTTGTAATTGATATTAATTGATTGCTTCTTTATTGGTATGCTTCCTGACATGTTTTTTTTAATCCGACCCCGTATAAAAAAATAAATTAATTTATCCTAATTTGTTCGGATACGACAGAACTGATAATACTAATAATTATACAACGAAAAATTTAAAATAATAAATGATATGATGACTGAACAAACTAACTGCAATAAAAGCAAAAAAATCTAAAGTAAAATAAATTAATTCAGAATTTAAAGTAATTTTAACTACTTTATTAAAAAACAAAATCAGAATTAGTTAATAAGACTACAGAAATACTCGCTGCTTCTTCACTGTCTAATAACTCTAAAGAATCACGCAAGTTCTCCAAATATAAAGTACTCAATTCTTTCATATCCCGAATATAACTCGAATTTCAATACAGTTCTTTTGTACTAGTTTTATTAATAGAAATTAATAACCCGAGATTCTCTTTCTCTGCAGTTCATAAAAAACTTTAAAATAAACTAATAAGAACAGTAAACGCAAGAAAAACATACCATCTGAATCTGATCTCTTTTTCTACACTGCTATAAAGTGATTTTGATGAAATTTCTCAATGGTTTCTAATGCCGCCATAAACACTGATTGCACTAAGTGGTTTGTTTACAGAATAAAAGTTGAAATTTGGGTTATATTTTCATTCTATCTTTAATAATTTTCTTTCATTGTACATGATTAACAGTACATAACCTTGAAATGTCCTGAAACTTTATGAGTATTTGAAAATAGCACACGGTTATTATATGAGCATGCGCACTTCCAGTGCCTAAAAATGAATAAATACCTGAAAAATCTTAAAAAAATATTTTGTTGCTGATGAAGCTTCTCTATGCAGTAAAGATGTTATTTATGATCGATACAATGAGTGCAAGGATTGAACTGGATGAGATAAAGGCAATAGAAGAGATAGTGTTTGACAAAGAAAAAGACCCGATGATTAACCCCCACGGGCCAATAAGTCCACTGAGGGGATATATTCTGTATAAGGGCGGGTATATGTACAACAAGCGACTATATGCGCCTGAAATAGACACAATATGTACTTTAAAAAAAACAAGCAAACTAACAGATTATAAAGATCCCATCTATGAATATATTAAAAAACCAGCAAATGACATAGCATACGCAGACATATCTATAGACAAAGCAAGAAACAACTATCTTGTTAGGTTTCATACGCAGTTAATCAAAATGTTTCCTTGTGCAGACGGGTCACTCTCTATTATAGCAGGACGGCCGGATGCTATTACATCGTTTTTAACAAAGAAAGAAGTTCTGCCAGAGAGTATGTACATACTGGCTGCTCTTTTTCTTATGTCAGAGCAGGTCGACATCCCAATTATAGCGGAGGTGAAAGAAGAAGGACAGGAGAGACTGGTTCTAAAGAGTATGGATAAGAATCACACATATGTTGACCAGAGCTTAGTTTTATATGAAGACAGTAAACAGTTAAAAGATGAAGAGAAGAACTATCACACTGAGACAGTGGGAGTTATTTCTTTCTTAAGAAGCTATATAGGGGATCGACTTATGCACCCTAGCACGAAGAATGCATTCATAGAGCCAACTAACTATGAACAGTTTATGACGGGAGAATTTTTGAATACTCCTCAGTTCCTTATCCAGTCGTATATATTCGAGTTTATTGACACCCCAAAGAAGTACATTGAGTTTGTAGAGGCTGTATACACTCTCTTGACCGACCAGATTGAGCATGCAGAATTGAGCACAGACAAACACCCAGACAGCCCTTCAATCTGTGAAATGCCAACAAACAAGAACTTAACTCTTTATAAAGTGAAAACTAGCAAGAAAGTGCTTAAAAAGGCGTTTGATCGGTGCTTCGTAGAGAAGCCAGTGGGAATGGCCCGATTGGAACTGAACGCTCCTATATACAAACTGAAAGAATGGATTGACAGATTTAGAACATTCCCTTTTAATGACTCAACACAGCTGCCTGCGTACACCAGAGTACATATATATAAAAGAAAAGACAATGAGTTTGAAAAAGAAGAAACTAAAAAGTACTCTAACTGTGTGGAGACGGCTTTACTGGGTATACTGTGTGCTTTAGCATATAATCCAGTAGAAAACATTTACACTACAGACCATATACCAACTGCATCTGCCGACCTACAAGAATTCTTTAAAAGTTATAACACTCCTTCAGAAACAACAGACCAGAAGATACACCAAGAGTGGTGTAGGGTTGTAGCTGATCTTGGAAAAGACTGTATTGTGTATAAGACAGAAAACAATGAAATTGTAAGTGGGCTCGTAAACATTCTCTATGTTTTGTCTGAGATAACAGGAAATATTCCAAAAGTAGTAGAAATAGTACAGTTCATAGAAAGTATGTGCGCCAATGAATGCTTAGACAATGTTAGTGCAATACAAGAGAAGATATCTGAAATGTTCAAGCTTCTATCTAAGAACCCAGAAGTATGGATTATTTGCGATTCACTTAAGATCGACAAAAGATCAACCAAGCAAACAGATATATTTGGTAAGATAACAGTATATTACAGCTACAAAAACACAGAAAATGGAATGTTTGTGGACATTCGCCCAGGGCACGCGGTACTTAGGATAGTGGCAGAGAATGGTTTCAACACAGAGTTAATCCGAAGCAAGCTTAAGAAAATTGAGCAAGTATACAGCACCCTACCAAACTACATGGGATACATCATAAAACAGTATGCCAGTATTGAATTAGCTAAAATAGATCATATAGAGGATGAATTTGGATATATTCCCAAGAAACAGATTAGAAAGTCTCTGATCGGTGAAATTTCCAATGTGCAGAAGCTATTTCTACTTGGAAGGATATATTCATTGGAGTGCAAGGCGTTTATCATCTGGTCGTTCTTTTCCTCGACTACTGGCCACATCATGCCTCTAACCAACCCAATGGTTCGATTCACAAAAAATATTATAGGAAGCACTTCGCTAGATGATGCAGCTACAAGACAGGCGATCTTTAGTGCAAGTGTATTTAATCCTAGAGCAGAAGAATATTACCCCACGATTGAATATACGACACAGGACTATATTAAGCATGACTTTGACTCTGAAATAGTCTTATATCTATTAAAGGGCATATTCACATGGGCGAAATATAGTGAAGACGTTCTGATTGAGTGCTTTGTGAACATGCTCAACTCTATTTCCTATGCTAATAGATTCTCCTCGTTTCTTAAAAGATATCAGATATATAAAATTATACTGGAATTTGTAAAAACAGAAAAGGATTTATTAGCTCGGATGGCCTGGATTATGGACTCTGTAGAAAAAGCATCTTTAGAAAACCATGAAAAAAAGCATGTTAATGATATCTACATCCATTGGTTTATTTATAGTTTTGACGAGCATAGAGTAGATTTAAATATTATTATGAAGATCTATGACAGAATAGATTATAATAATTTTATGCCCAATTATAAATTGTGCATTAACTCGGGAAACTCTTATTCTAGAATTCTCACTTTCTTAAATGAGAAAAAGAACAACTTCTGTAATGAGAATAACCCACAAAGTATTAAAAAGTATGAAAGAATTAAGAGTATGGTAGAAGTTGCAGTAGAAAACAGATCGCGTAGAAGCAATTCTACTGAATAGTTACACAATACATAGAAATCTAATAAAAATGTACCAATCTAATGAATCAAACAAAATTTATGCGTATTTCGGGTTATATAGATACATCCTGTATAACTTAGTAGAATTCTATTTTTATTTTAAAGTGCCTTTTATATAAGGCCTACTCAGAGAATTTCAATAAATTTATTTTTAGTAGGCTTTCTTATAAAAACACTTTAAAAATACTAGAAAACACACAAAAACAACAGAAAAAGATTAACATCAAACTAAACAAAATATATAAACACTGTGCTATATATAGAGATTATAGATTGATAAATACAAAGACACACATGCAACAGATTTATTTTTCTGTTGCGCACTTTAAATGTGCAGTCATACTCTACGGTGTCTTAGACACAGCAGGACTTCTCTATATTTAGAACAAATACAATAATAATTCACATAGGAGAATGTGTATATTCACTATTGGACGAATTTTCGGTTGCACTTTCAGAGATGTCTTCCTCCCTAGAGATAGTTAAAAGAGAAGGCTTCTTTTCACTTGGCGGCAAGGTATCTGCGTTGTTTCTCTTATTATATGTGACAATTATTTTTTCATTAACTTCTGTCATGTCGATGGAAATAGACTGTACTAAATGCTTGGTTTTCTCCAAAGCATCCAGCCTTTCTCTGTTTACTGTCCAGACCCTCTTTCTGTTCCCATCTACATCAAAAAAGGTCATACTTATGAAATATGGGCTGCTTCTTAAAAGTATATAATAGTGTTTTTTTTTCTCAAGTTTTTTTCCGTACTTTTTCTTAAGTGCACTATAGAGAAGACTAAAGGGCACAGGCTCCTTTTCATTTAAAATAACCTTAGCCAGGTCCTGTACTTGGTGCGTGTATACAGAAGAAGGCGCTGAGAGATAAAGAACAAAGTCAAAGTCTAACAGCACTCGCATGTTCTGTTGGTCTAGAAGCTCTTCGTTTACTATCCAGGTGGATATATCCTCAGAATAAACTGCAGTGAATCTTTTTGTGCCAGTCTCAGACACAATGCTGATTTCTAGAAACAGAGATCGAATGGGAATTGAAATTACATGGCTAAAAAGAGATCCAAAGGCATGCATGCGTATTAAATGAATGAAATATAAATAAAATGTAGTGTACATCAATAAGATATGGTTTAGAATACAGCCAATATAGTAGAGGGGCAGTGTAAATGGGCATATGTTGCCCTTTAAGCACAGAAAAACACAAGAGTGTAAGTTAAGTGAAGATAATATGTAGAAACAGAGATAGCAAATATAGACTGGCAGTATATTACTATAGCTAGTTTTAGTTGGCCATGCTCATTTCTTTGTATAGTAATTTTGAGCTATACTATTTCAGAGTATAGAAGGCATAAAAGTGTTTGGTAGCAAATAATATTAGATAGGTGGCATTTTATTACTAATTAGTAGTTTAAATAGAAGAAAAAAGATACAGCGAATATGCCCAAAACGTATGCGTATATATACAATTATTTCAGAACGCACAGTATTATTTAAGCCAGAGTAATAAGTAATTTACAAAAAAGTAGTCTTTATTTTGTATAATCCACAAGTTTCTCTATATACGCATTATGCAGAGTTTAAGCAACAAATAGTCTAAAATTACTAGATATACCAGAATTTAAGTGTAAATCAAATGAAAACTAAATTGCAGCAGATGAGCAGATATAACCCGAATTTAACTAGAAAATATTTTAAAGCCAATTTTTAATTTATTTGTTTATAGCAGAATTTATTTTCAATTAAGATGTATTAAATTATATACACCAATTTGTATAAATTGTGCAAAACAACAACAAACAACCTATTTTCACATAAAGTATGTACCTCTGGCTATTTAATGCACACTCAGTATAGATAAGCCTACTAGATAACTTGTTGAGATACTATAAGCCGCGTCTATTCAAACAATATGGAGTTTAGAGAAGCTAGTAAAGTGTTATCTACACTTGAATACACACACAAATAATCTCTTATATTTAACTGATTTTTAAACTAGAATATATTCTTATTTGTATTTACTTATTGTAAGACATAATATATCACAATTTACCACATTTAAAGAACAGGTGTTCTAAAAAGAGTAAACATATGGCATGGTCAAAGAAAAAGATGCTCACAGTGGCTGGTTTAGTGGCTGCAGGAGGTATTGGTGCTATAACAATAGGCTCAAAAATAGGGATGTTTAGCAAAGAAAAAAAGTCAGAGAAAAAATATGTGGCCCCTTCAAAGCCTGCAGTAAAGACAAATGATAGCGCCACTTTATTGCCCTCAAATCATGCAGAAGAAAAGCAGCCGATTGAATCGAGGGAGTCGGCTAGTAATGAATCGTGGATGGTTAGCACAGAAGAGGAAAATGTAGGATACTATTCAGGCAGTGGTGACAGAACATTTGACGGTGCAAGGGCAACAGAGAAATGTCCGAAATATCTTGTAGAACCATATATATTTAATTTAGACCAAGAAGTGTATAATAACTCGAAAAATAAACAATTGGGATTTATAATAGATAAGGGCGCACTAGAGAATATCTTCCAAAATGAAAAAAGAACAAACAAACGAGCAGCCGAGATGCTTCTTAGAAAAAAAATAAGAAAACTAAATCGGTTGAAAAAAATAAAAACGCGTAATAAAAATTTCAGAAAAGCTTCTGCAGTAAAGAAAAGTCATAAGTTAAATAAAACAAATAATAATAGTACAACAATTGCAAATCCTCTTATTTTAAGGAATAATGAAAAGGATACTGATGTAAAAAAGGTAGAAGAGCTTGATTCAAATGAAGAGTACAGCAGCAAGCAATCATCTTCTGAAAAAAGCCACGAAAGCAAACAAGAAAGAGCCAAAGAGGACGTTCAACTAGAGACAGAGAATCAAGTAGATTCTGAGATTAGAGAAAAAGTTAAGACTGATTGGGGCTTAAAGTTGCGTGGTTATAATGTTTTAAAATGGTTTAATTTTATTATTAAGTATGCAAAATTTAAACAATCAACTGCAATAAATCCATTACATAACCACCATTTAAATTCTAGTGTAAAAGACTGCTTTGCTGTAGAGGAAGAGTCAAAAAATAAACACGAAAGTAGTACCAATGATTTGTATAGTGATAAAAACCAAGAGAATAGATTTGAAATTCATCATAAAAATAAAATAAAAAAAGATTTTATAAATAACTCGAATAACCCGAATAATTGCAAAAATGATTATTCAAATAGTGAAGACAGTGAGAATTCGAGCGCATCGTCATCAATCCTACCTATAAGTAATAGTGAAGAAAGAAAATTTAAATATATTCAAGAAGTTAATGAATTGATTTCTAATAGATATGGCGTACAAACAGATTCTAGATCACAGGAAAATACTTTGGATAAAGATCTAATGGGTTCAAATTATGGATGGGATGAGTATTGGCCACTTTACGAGGAAAACGATTACAATTTTAATATAGAAGATTTTGATTTGGCGAATGGATATAATTCTACTACACAGAAAAAAATACTTAATTTAAGCCAAAACACACAAAGCCAGAATTTAATAGATATGAATAATAATAATGACATATTTTATTCAGAAACAGAGGCAGATTATGAACAATGTGAATTATCAGAAAAAAAAGATTAAGCAGCCTAAGCAATAGTGATACAGATGATTTAAGTAGCGAGACTTTAGAATGTTTGCTAAAAAAGAGCTTGACACCTATGAATGAAGAGTATTATAAATTTTACTTTGAGAAAAAGAAACCTAAAAAACCAGAAAAATCAGATAATACTACAGAAGAAATTAAAGAACAAGAGAACTTAGGTAATACTACAGAAGAAATTAAAAAATCAGAGAACTTAGGTAATACTACAGAAGAAATTAAAAAATCAGAGAACTTAGGTAATACTACAGAAGAAATTAAAAAATCAGAGAACTTAGACGACAACTCAAACAATAGCAATTTAAAAGAAATTCAATAAAAATATATTCTAGTTTAAATGTCTCGGACAAGTCAAATTAATTAGTGCCTCGTTGAAAATACTGCTATAAAACGCAAACACAGAGTATTCTGCATTTGTCATATTTTAAAATTCGGCTTCTTGGGGGGAAGTTACCTAAACACGCATGGAGGACTCTGTTCCGGGGCTATCCCGAGACTAAGGCCCAGTGCGTAGACCGTAGCGTGAGTACTACTCGCGCGGTGGCACGTTATCTCAGTGCCATCATCCCATTGAGGAGTGACCGTATAAAGTCCTACTTTATAAGCCACGTTCCTCCACCCCTAGCAGTCAAAGACATTAACTTATTACGGCCGCCCTAGGGGCACAAGGAACGGCTTAGAGAGAATAGGAAGAGAGTGTGTGGCGCTCGACGGCCATCCGTTCGAGGCCCCTCGAAACTTATATCAATAAACTGTTTTAAGTTAAAAAAAAATTCGGCCCATTTAATGCATATAATTCATGCAATCCAATGAAAAATTACATGTGAGAGAATGCGTATACACTAGAAACAATTTGCAAAAATAACTATATGGAAATAAACAAAAATTATCTATATGTATAGCGTGAAATTTATATTATAATAGTGCAGTATTGGTCATTTCTATACAGGCACATACATATATTCAGCTAGGTTTAATTATTTTAAAGGATATGAAATAAATAATAGGTATAAATACAAGAAGGAAAAGAGAAAATTAGTAAAAATGTAAAATATATCCTAGACACACTTACGTATAGGAAATATAATGATGATTTTTTAGAAAGGAAGAATTTTTATGAAAGATTGTATATTTAGACTAATATACGCACAAAATATTCTGTATATTTTCAGAGAATATATTAATAAGAATTTTGAATTATATAATATGGAAAGAGTCAGTATAGAATATGAGCTACAAGAATATACATAGAGTAACAAAATTATGTGGGTGCATTTAGAAAGAATGTTTTTAAAATCTACTTAATTATATTACATGTGCTAGAATAAAATTTAACTTTAAAGACATCTAATGTTATGCGTACATGCGAGATAAATTAATTTATTCTCTTAGAAGGTATAACTTAACTATGTTAGAACATTCTATTGTAATGCATGAATATAAATTAATTACTTAACTCGTAATAATCCTATTATGCTAGCCTTAGCATACAACAAATTATATAAACACAAGCTATTTCTGATATTAGAACAGAGTATAATTAACAATGGAACTATACAATTCATCTATTTAAAGAAGAAAAACAAAGATACTAAAGTGCATTGCATTAATAAATAGAAGAATTTGCATTAGTAGTCATTATGCTGCATATAGACTAATTACCAATGTTTATATTAAATTTTTATTTGGAGCAGGCTTTGTTGTAATAAAGGCAGAGTTTATTTATATAATCCGAAAATTAATTTTTAATTAAAAATTAAGCCAATATTTAATGTAAAGCACCCTTTAAATAGATTTAGGCACAAGAGTGGCATGGGAGTAAATTAGAAGAAAAATATGATAAAACAGGAGAGTAAGTGTGTCTCTAGTTGTTTTATGATTGGTTATACAACTGAAAGTGTCTGTCAAATATTTTCATTTTGCTAAATTTTATTTGTAATAAGTTTATAGATTTATTTAAAAGAAGCTTAAAAATAGGCTACTTCAAGCTGTGTGCAGGGCATTTATATTTATTTTATGAAAACACAATACTTCGGGCCTATAATGCGATTTTTTCGGGATTTAAGTTATTTTAAAGTATACTTTCATCAGTAAGATTATTCTTCTTTTTAATTAAGCCACATGAGGAAAAATCATTGGTGTAGTTTTTGTAAAAATTAATTCACTTTAAAAGTATAAATAATTATTTTTTTTACACGAGTAATTAAATATGGAAAGAACACCAAGAGAAAAAGGACTCTCTGTTCAACAAGCCATATTCCCCATGGTTGGATCAATTCTTGGGTCGGGTATCTTAACACTGCCCAGAGCAGTAGAGTTTTCTGGGTATATGATATCTGGGCCCATTCTTGCATTTATCTCATCAGTCTGTGCATTTACTCTTTTCCAGCTGGTTCATTGCGCTAAAAATTTAGAAAGCAGTGACCCATCGTATTTTAAAGTGTGCCAAAATGCATTTTCTGTGCTTGGGTATGTGGCAGAGGGCAGTATAGGTGCGCAGGGCTTTGGAGCAATGTTTGTATACTTCCTGATTCTTAAAGAGTGGATATCTACAATGATTGGCATTGAGAGCAAAATAAATACATTAGCATACAATGTGCTATTTAGCATAGGACTTATTCTTTTGCCAACATTCCTAGGAATGCAAAAGGACTTGAAAAAGCTTGGATTTATCTCCATTCTATCAACTATTTCAGTTCTGTTTCTTTCGATTATTGTTATGATTTCGGGAGTGCTTGCGCTCATCCTTCCGTCAAATGGCCATAAAATGGACGTGCTTAAAAAGGCAACAGGCAGCCCATCTAGTATTTTTGATGCACTTTCTTGCTATATATTCGGGCTGGGATGCCAGCAGAATATGGTGAGGGTGTTTTCTCTTCTGGATAAGCCAACAAAGGCCAATGGGGCCAAAGTAGGAAGCATTGCTATTCTAGTTGCATCTATTGCATACTTCTTAGTAGCAAATGGAGGATACTTTGCAGGAGGTAACAACCAGGACAAGTCTATTCTGGACATACTTGTGGACACTGAAAGATACTTCTACAAAGCGATCATGAGTAACTTTGGTCCAACTTTGGGCAAGTGGTACTTCCATCTGGTGAACCTTGCAAAGCTTGCCATGAGTATAGTTTTGCTTGGGGCATACCCACTGCAGATGCACCCAACAAGGGATTCTATAATATCCTTTATTAACATAGGGTTTAAAGAGAAGGTGGATAAAAACAAAAGAGTTACTGAACTGGCTATTTCATGCCTTATTTCTGCTGTAATATTCCTTCTTTCTCTAAAAAAGTTTAAATACACCTTTGTAATGAACTTAATTGCAAACACTGCTAGTTGCTACATTATGTTTTCCCTCCCAAGCATTTCATATATTCTATCAAATAAGAAGAAATTGCCATTTACTTTGATTTCCTATGGTATTTTAGTAGGAAGTATTTTATTTTCTTTCATCGGTACGAAAAATCTATTAACGGACGGATAATGGTAAGGTTTAATTCATAATACTCTGGTAAAAACTAAAGATATTTATAAATAAACATGAAGATTATATGTTTTCTCTCAATTAATACATATTTCTTAATATTTATGCAAAATTATATGAAATTACAGCATAACCCATGCAGTGCCTTCCAGCGCATATATTAAGAAAATAAACAAATTTCCTCTCTAGATTAATTCATTAGTTGATAATGCAGCACTTTGCTGTATTTATTCCATGCAGAGTGTAGTGGCATACAATCTCAAATAGCCAACAATTCTAAAATACAGCATGCTGCCACTATAATTATAAAGATGGGCATAGTCAATGCAGTGTTTAATTTGATCTATTAAATTTTATATAATTCAATATTATATGCATGCGAATCTTTCTTAATAGAAGTGTTTTCTATGGCAATATTTAAAAAATCAATAAAGATAAAGAATTTAAATGAAAGCATGCAATAATAGGAGTATAATCAAGCCATTGCGCATGCATTCAAATAAGAAAACACTTATATTTATATTTCTACTAACAACACACAAACTATTATGCGAGCTATATTTAGATCCACTGGAATGCATAAAGAACTTCTCTATTCTAGAAAATGAAGAGGGCATTCTGAAAATAAATCCTGGGGGCCACTAAACTTTTTGGCTGTGCTTGTGTCTAAGCGGTGCAGTATAATGAACAACAAAAGACTCTTCCCACTGCATAAGGGGCTGGTACAAAAAGAGGATAATATACATACACCAAAATTAGATGAAAATTGTGTGGATAGCATATATACAAACACGCGCGCCCCATACAATGCAATTTCGTATATCAGAGAATTTAACACTGCCCTTGCATATATGTTCCCATCTAAGGAAAATTATCTCTCAATCCGTACAAACCAGGAAAGTTCATTTACTGAGTTTCTTAATCATAACCCGAAGTGAAGAAATACTCACTCAGAATTCTGGCTGTTCTTCTACTTCTAGCAGAAGGGTTGAAAATACCTGTACACTTTCTTGAACAAGATAACAACTTAGTGCTTGCTGTACCCAGTGATTCCATGTTCAATAATTCAAGCTATTTTATTAACATGGTGTATCAAAGCAAGTATTCTGGGGAAGTGAGCGGTATGCAGGTGAAAATAACCATAAATAATAGAGAAGCCGTCCAAATCATTAAGTTTTTTATAGCTGCTCAAAAAAGCAAGGATGTTAAAGAAACAAGACCATTTAGTGGCCCTTTTACCATGAGTGAAATCAGAACAGGAGATTTTATTCGCACACCCAGCTGGCTTATAAAAAGCTATATCTATGAGTACTTGGAGACTCTTTCTGATCTGAAGGATTTTATTGCGCAAGTGTATAGGAGTGTGTCTGTCTATATTCACAGTTTTTCTATAAACCAGAAAGAGGAAAAGAACCATGCAAATGTAGTCTACAATTATTTATTTCATAATAACCCGAAGGACAGTGACTTTGACGTATACATGAATGCTTTATTCCAAGTAGACAATATAATTTCTAAGTACAAGGGACTTCTAGCTGAGGGCGTAATGGAACTGGCACCCACAGTTGATTATTTTTATGTGAATACACCGCTATTTCAATATAGAAATTTCTATTACAATGCCTTTATTAAAAAGATAAAGCTTCTTTTTAGCACTTTATCTGCATGCTTTTTGTACGATCCAAAAAATCGAGTGTATAACACCACACACATTCCACGTCTGAATGTTTTTTTAAAAAGCGTTGATATTAATTCCCAAACTAGTTTTAGTTATAGTTCAGATGCGATATTGGGTGAATATATAGAGTCTGTGCACGATAGAATTGCTTTAATCTTCAAAAATGGCGATCTACTAGCAGCAGAATGTAAATTTGGTCTTTTTCAGCTTATGGAGTCGGTGCAAATGCTCACTAAAGTAAATGATAAAAATAATGATGAAACTATTCAGAGATTTTCTAAGGGGCTTAATGACTATAAGGGTGAGATTACTGACAAATTTATAGAATATGCGGAGAACTGCATTCTGAATATTCTTCTTAAATATTCTATTAACAAATGTTTATTGGTTAAGATTGAGCAGCCGGTTATAGGATATATTTCGCCATCCTCTCCTATAAAAGATCTGTTTTGCAATTTGATTTTAACTTATAGCGAATCTAGAAATAGGCAAACCCGCATTGCAATCACCCTAAAACCAGGAAATCTTGATGTTAGCACGAGCATAATTGGAAATACACCATCTATGCTAGGCATTCAATGCCTCAATACAATCAAGAAAAGTGTAGGTAGTCTGAATACTTTTCCAGGGAGTATGATTGCGCACTATATCACAATAGAACGAGATCGACTTCAGAACAGCACCCAACGATATAGAACTACTTGGAATGATATATATCAGTGCATGCCGAACCAGCATGAATCTTTAGATGCATTACTTATATACGGGGAAATATTTCTTAATTAATTTAAATATGTTTGAATTGAATAATAAAATGCCTTTATTCTATTACTTTATGGTAGATTTGAAATGTTCTTCTCTTTTTTTAATATTTAAAACTTTCAGATATTTTTATTTAATTGTGCATATACAAAGATATAATCCGAAATTCAATCTAAAAATCGATAATTTATATGCTATCTGTAATTCTTGAAATGAATCTCTACCAGTGCCATTGTTCTTATCCATTATAGATGTGTATACTCTGACATATAAGCTAATTGCATACAAGCATTTCTATCTAGGTATATCTAATCATGGATATATTAAAAAATTATTTTTAGATAGCAATGGCAGAAGAACAAAACATAAGAAGAAAATATAAAAATCACAAAATAGAGGTGGCTGTGTTCTGTATCGCTGGAGTAATATTTATAAGTCTTATATTGATATACCTAGACAGAACTATAAATAGTCATACACATGTTCCCATTCCTGACCCGAAAAACTCCTACTCTATCTCAAATATTAATAATAAAGAAGAAGGCCAGAATAAACTAGGCTGTATAGACGAGCCAGATAAAGATTCCGGTGCAGAATCTTCAGAAAAACTGGACAAAAACAGGCATTCTTTTTCTAGCGCGGAAAGACCTGCTCTAGAACATGTCCAGGATGTTCTTACAACTATTCAGGGTATGGAAGAGTTGGAGTGTGAAAAGATGGATATCCCAGTTGACATTATTTCTAATAAGGCTATTGAACCCGAAACTATAATAGCGCAAGTTATATTCTATTGTAAAAGAACGTTTTGGATGATTCAAAAAGCCATTATCGGCTATTAGAAGATTGCACATTATAATGTTTATAGAAAGTTAATTCTTAAGCTTTTTATATGCATAAAGAATAAAAGCATGGGGATAAGTAGTATAAAACAGAAAAAAATGATAAGTATAGAAATACTGCAGAGCTTTAAAACCAATTTACTGGCTTTTAATATAATAAATTATTATGACATTACTTTTTTCTTCTTACATTTGTCAGAGTGTCAGATTAAATTCTGATTGCATCTTTATTTCCGGTTATATCGGGTTATATATAATATTAATAAATCCTTAGGAGTTTTTGAGTATGCATTATTATAGAAATCCACTGCCAAACAAATTTATACCAAAAATATACATATAGTAATTTTGCTTCTTTATATGTGCTGACGTGCTCACGGGGAGGCATCGTTGCGGCCCGGATAGCATAGCCCAAGATAGATAGAGATAGTATTGAGAGATGCTCTTTATTATGATTATTAGAATATTGGGATGTGCGCAGACGCGGAGTCCTTGTGGCGCTACTGGCGCTGAGCCTTTTGGTAAATGTTTCCCGTGGTTCTCCCATCATTTGTTTGGGTGCGTGCTACTTATGTAGTCCAAAGTTGATCCGTGATTCTTAGATCCCGGCTTTTGTCACGGTAGGATCATCATGCAAGTAGGCGCATTGAAGGATTGGTCTTGGGCATGCGCGCTTGAGTGGTGGTGTCACCACATGTACTAAGCATCAAATGTTTTCTTTAAAGTAATTTCGGGTTATATGCATTGGTTTTATTGAACAAGCATACAGCTGTGCTTATATATACGTATTTGTTCATTTAATTTACTTTGTATGTAATTCCAGTTTCAAGCCTCAGTTTTAATTTATAGTTGCATGTTTAAACAATGCTTGAATTTCTGGCCTAGCACACTTGATCTGCTTCTAGTCTTTTTGTACAGGACTCAGAAGTATTCATTTTGTGCTTATATTATAACCAGAACTTCTGGAAGGTTTAGGATATTTAGCTGGAATATTGCGTTCTCCTGGGTTGGGCGGTTAATCATTTGATTTTTCTCCTTTATTATTTAATTCTAAAACGTTTTAAGGGCATGCAGCTTATTTTTACAAAGAAATCTAAAGTATATGCTAAAATGGGACTAGTTATGGTAGCAACTGTTTTTCTGTGCATATTATCATGGAAGGTTGTTTCGAGGTATAGACAAAAAAATTCACCAAAATTTAATTTAGACTCTAGCACTATAAACAACTTACAAAGAACTGATTTGGAAAAGCAGAACTCCTTATGTCTTTCTAATGATGGCACAGATGGATTAAATATAAAGAATTCTCCCTGCACCAGTACATTAGAGACCACAGACCAGAACACTACTAATGTTATAGAGAATCGGCCAGGCAAAAGCACTTCTGATAGTAATTTAAAAGATATCCCGGTTCCAACAAAAATGGATTCCCCAGAGCAAATAAGCAATGCCTCAGGAAACACGGAAAATTTTTTGAGTGAACAGATAGTATTTGATGATTTAGAGTGCTTTAATTTATTGGATGATAATATGGATTTTGATGTGCCAGAGCTATCTGTTATTCGTAAAAAGCTAGACGACTCTACTAAATCCTTGGAGTTAAGTGGTGGGTATATAAAAACAGCGACTGAACTTTTAACTGACATAAAAAGCAGCAAAGAAGATAAATAATTGAAATAACACAAAAGAACATACTGATTTCCAGACAGAAACACCACAAAATGCTCATTTCTAAAAACATTATTATATAGCATATTCAAGATATATATTTATACATGATTTTCTATTTTTATTAATACTTTATTGAATAGTATGCTTTCTACTTATAAGGCCTAGTATACTTGAAAATTTGATGGTTAGCTTTGGTGTGCTTTCTTTTTACTCGGTATTGTTGTGTCTGCTTATTTAACTGCCTCTATTGTTTTTATGTGGGTAGCCATACATTTTTATTTTTAATAGATGTTCTTTGCCAGAAAGAGTTTAAAGTGTACATTTTATAAAATGTAAACCGACTAAAGCACACTAAAATTAAAATTTAATTTTACATGATGTCAAATAATTCAAATAGATCTGTTCATCTCTATGGTAAATTAATAATTTCTTATAATAAAGGGATCAAGTTGGCTTTTAGAATTGTATATTAGCAAATTTTAAAATTTATTGAATTTCGGTATTAATTTATAGTAGAGATCAAATTTATTCAACAGAAATTATTGAGAAGTATAATTTTGATTTAGAGTAATACTTCTTTATCTATATGCAGAATAAATTTTAATTTAAAAAAATGAATGCTAAGGTAGAAAAGAGCAGTAAAACGGTTATTGTAGCAGACAGGCAGGCACACCAAGCTGCTAGACAGAAATTCCAAATGTTTGTTTTTTATTTTTTCCTATTAATAAAGTTAGTTACGGCGAGTAAAGTGGAGCATGTATGCCCAAGCATAAAAAATATAAAAGATTTCAAATTAACTAACATAAAGATTATAACAGAGGATGGTGAAATGGCAGTAAAGCCAGGAGGTCCGCTGTGTGGTCTTCGGGGCAGATTGGTTAGCATTGGCAATTACATAGAGAATCTAAGACACCTTTTCCCATATAATATAATAAAAAATCCATCAAATCTATGTGGGCCATTGCAGCAGGCAGAAGGATATAAGTATACTGCACACATAAAAACAGAATGCACGGGGTACAATAATGTACAGAGGACATATTTAGAAAAATTCTATAAAGTACTTGAAGAGCTATTTCCTTTTGAAAAAAATTACTTGCCTATAATTACAGAAAAATTAGACTCATTCTATGCATTTATAATAAAACAATATACAATGGAAGAAGGAGAGACTATTTTGGCAGCACTTTTTCTTCTAGCAGAGGGGGTTGATCTGGACATGAGAATTAATAGTAATATGAATGGGGATGTTTTTATTTTAAATACTTGCGAAAAGGACAGCCCGCTTAAAGAGTTTAATCTTAGTGTGGAAGATGGAACATCAGTGCGTAACTACGAAGAGGAGCCGCATAGAAAGAAGGCGCGTGTATGCTATAAAGCAGCTAAGGAAGTTATTATGTTTTTCATGGACACTAAGAGGTATAGAGAAGATAGAGCAAGTGCAGAACTGCAAATGGCAGAAACATACCAGGAGTTTGAAAAGGGCGGGTTTCTTTATACTCCAGAATTTCTTATACAGGCGTATGTTTATAAGCTCCTGATATTTCAAGAAAACAGGAGTCGATTTGTTAAAAAAGTATACTTTCTTCTCAACAATTATATAAATATGGCTATAGAAAATAGAAAGCAGGATGATGTGAATGCCTTGTTGTCCGTAAAAAATCGTCTTTTTAATAATGCGGATGAGAGTGCAATAGAAGAGAAGCTATGTTTAGAATTGGTTAAAGAGATTTTCGATTTAGAAGATGCGCGCAAACTGATGCCTTTCCATAACAAATATCAAATAAAGGCTGCTGTATTTTATATGCAGCCAGAGAAATCAAATGTTAATATAGATGCCACTACTAGTAATAACGAGCAGGGTGCTTCTGGCGGCTTAGATAGCAGGCCTCATTTTGTTAGTTACATCGAGTCTACCATACTGGGATTTTTTTGCTGTTGTTGGTATGATTCTAATAAGACAGAGTATATGGACATATGTCACACGAATGTGCTTCAAAGCTGCAAAGACTTCTTTTTCCGATACAAGGGGCGGTTTATGGTGGAAAATGAGAAAGTGTACTATGACTGGAATAGAGTGATAATGGATGTGAAAAGGAGCGGACGTACCTTATATATAAAAGAGTCTGGGCAGCTATGTTCTGGGCTACTGAACATATTAAGAGCAATTAGTGTGATAGCAGGCATATATAATGAAGAAAAACTCCATATTAAAGACCTTAAAAATATTATAAGCAGTAATAAACCTGGTGGTAAAGTTACATTTTATATGAAAATCCAAATCATACAGTATATAAAACATTTGCTCTTTAAAATATCAGGAAGTCATAATTTTAAAGTTTTGGACTTTAAGAATATTAAGAAAGAAATAATACATGGTGTAGAAGATATAACTGGGGAGTTAATCATTCAGCGACTGGGTTCTGTTTCGTATGGGTCAAATTTATTTTCTTGTATGCAAGGAAATATAACAATAAAAATAAACACCAATTATGCGACGATTGCCACGGAAAACAACAACTCGACCCTTTTGAATAAAAATCGGGTTGGTCGGCCTTCTATTTATAACTCGAAAAAACTACTGAATTTAGAAGAAAACATGTTTATGGGGTGTTTGATTGCTCACTACAAGCACTGCTTGATGGCCACTCCGCAGAGAATATCAATTGAAGTATCAAACAATATAGAGAGGTTCTGCGGTAGATGCGACAATCTTCTAGAACATATAAATATGTATATTATGAGCCGAAATTTTCTAAGCGTACAACACCAAATTGTGGTAGTCAAGGAAATATTATTGAATTTGATGAAATATAGTATACATGTTGAAATAACCAAATATTTTTTGTGTAATGTATTAGAAACACTTTTTATAACTAATGGGAACACATTGCAATATTATGAGTTATTTCCATATTTTATAGCTTTAAATGACACTCTGCCTTTCTTGAATAGGTATATTGATATATCTATGTATGTTAACACATATGATGGTACAAAAAAATATATAAAAGAAACAAAATACTTGCTGGAACGGCTGGCCAATATGCCAAGTCTATTGCCTTTATTCAATGTTATAATAAAGTGTGCTTCCCTATGTAAAGAGGGTGGTTCATGTTTTTTAAATTCGATACTATTCCATTTATCGACAGGGGAAACCATTAAAATAATATCAAAGATTATGTGCACAGAAGATTTTATGGACCAGATAAATCTAATATTGTCTATCATGAACAATTCGCACATATACCACAAAAATCATTCAAAAAAATTAAATACTAATACCTTTTTGGTATTTATTATTGGCGCACTATGCCAAAATAACAATAAGTACACTTTTTTAATTCCTGCTTTTATTAAAAAAATAGATATTAATGTGCCTATTCGTATAGATCAGGAATTTAAGGGGCTAAAGGAAAGAGATTATATAAAAAATATAATAATGCAGCTTAAAGAGCTTAATCGCTTTGAATTCCTCTTAAGCCACGAAGATTATATAAAAATATATAATTTCATTATCAATGCGTATACTTATTAAATCTAAGTATTTATTGGAGATGAACCAATCTTCTACTACTTATTAGAAAATAAGCAAGCCGGCATTATATTGAAGAGGTTTATATACGAAATATTCTGAATTGTATCAAATTCTTCTTACATAGAATGATCGTATCTACACAGACCCTTCTGTTTTCGGGTTTAAATTAACTATAAGATTGAGTAAGAGCTTAATCCATATAATGTTGGTGAAAAAATAAATATTTATGTCTTACATAGTTTATAAATAATTTAAATGGGAAACTACGATGCATTTGAATTTCTCTACTTCCTTATAAATTCCAAAGAGGTTATGGGTGCATAAAGAACGCATTTTGCAGATATTTAAATCTACTCTATTATTTTGTCTTAATATTCTAATGGGTGGAATGGAAATTCTAGTGTAGTAGCAATAGCAATTAATATTTGCATGTTTCTTTGTCATGATGTGCCATAAACAGTTTTAGATAAGTCTTTCTCTGTATTTGCCCCTATATAAGGGGGTTTAATATATTCCCAAATTATTAATTTTGTTGCCAACAAATTAAACCAAGATAGAATTTTATTAAACTAATTATTAATAGCCCCTTGGCAACAAATTTTAAATATATGCATTTATATAAGAGAGCTAGTATTTTTAGTAACAGTTATATGAGAAGACATGAAATAAAAAGTGGTAAAAGAACTGTGCACAGACTATTTTTATTTAATTATAAAACAGCCTGGATATTTATGAGTGTATTTTTATGCATTGCACGGGCAGAACTAACTTGGAACGCTGTGAACAACATAGAGAATATGAACATTGACAATCCAAAGTTGGGAAAGTTAGTAATTAATCCGTATAGCTCTATAGGCCCAACAAAGCAGCACTTACAGGACTTACTAGAATATATGTTTAGGCTGCGGATGCTTTCTATGCGGGTTAAGACGAAATTTAGTGTTTCCGCCAAACAAGTTGATAAAACTGCTATTTTTGAATATAAAGATCGAAAATACGACGAGGATATTGCAAATCAAAATGTAAGGGAATGCTCAGATTATACACAGAAAGAAGAGAATCTTTGGGATAAAGCGTATTTACTAAAATTCTATAAGGTGCTTCTTAAGATGTTTCATTCTATGGATGGTGTATTATCGATAAAAACAGAAAAATCTGATTCATTCTATAATTTTATAACTAAAAAGCTTAGTAAGGAAGATGCCCATACACTACTTGCATCTTTATTACTGCTTTCAGAGGGAGTAAATACTTTAGAGTCTATTGAAAAGTTTAAAAAAATACTAGAGAAGCCGAGCAAAGGGCCAATTGCTTCAGGACCAAAGAACAGCACCCAAGATACTACTACAGGCACCAGCAAACAAAATTATGAAGGTGAAAATATGCCAAGAGGTGCTTCTACTGCTATTAATGCAGAAGAAGATGAATCAAACAATATCACTGCCATTGATGAAGATTTTGGGAAAAAAGAGCCGCTTATTGTGCTCGACTTTTTTATTTATGCTCAGGATCTTTCGCACTTTGCGTTGGTTGACATTAAAAAGATGACCATTGGCGAGAAATACAACACTGGGATGTTTTTAGAAACGCCAAGCTTCCTTATTCAGTCATATATATACAAATACATATGCAAAGTAGAGGATATGGAATATTTCATTCAGATATTGCATGATCTTCTTTGGGAGCGAAGTTCACATAAGAAAGACACTACTCCAACCAAAGACCAGGTAGATGCATTGTCTATTTTTAACAGTTATTTTGTTAGCTTGGAGTCCCCTGAATACAGTGAAATAGCAAAAGTGAAAGAAGCATTTACTTCTATACAAAATAATTTGGATTTAGAAAAAGAAAAAAAGGAGACTGTAAAGCAAAATGATACATCCAGTAAATCCATAGATACAAATGATGAAGCAAATAACCAAAATAAAGAAGCCGAGAAGCAAAATGGGGAACCAAAAGAACCCTCAGCAGAAACACTAAGAAACTTGATTAAATTCAAGAACATTAATCAAAGTATTGAATGTTTAGACAAAAACTCATATTTATTCCATATGTTCAAAGGATACGAAAAATTTCTATTGTTTTCTTTTAGCGATATTGAAATGGAGATGGAATTGTATAAAAAAAAGACGTCTATAGATAACCCGGAAAATAGCATAGAGCTAACAAGGATTATTTTAGATCCCCGCCTTAAGTCTTATAGATATTTAATGAATGTATTTGTATTTCTACTGGTGCATTCTCTTGAATTAAATCTACGAAAAGAGAGTGGGGTTGTTTGGATGATGAAGAACATACTGGGTAGTATGCATTTGCACCCAGAAAAGCTAAATATTGACTTTTTCTGCATTTTAGTTATTATTGAGAAAAAATTGGAATACTTCAAGGGGATCATTGAATTTGAAAACAATATGTGCATTGAATATTATATAAAACCATCAGTTATACACTGGCTTATTTTGTATTTTATACAGAGAAATGCAACATGTCCTTTAACTAGCATTCTTTCAACAATTTTAACTATAAAAAAAGATAAAAGTGCAGTATATACGCTAGATGACATATTAACGACAGACAGCTGGAACTTAAATTATGCAATTCTTGATCAGCTAACCAAGAGTGACGATAAATTTGAGTATATTGATCGAATTATAAGATATATGAGGCTAACAAATACTTTTGCTTATAGAGGGCATGCAACTTTTTCGGATATAAATAACATGAATCTTGTTATAATCATGCTGGCCTGCAATCATGATGAAAAAAAATTTGGTTCAATTATAAAAAAATGCTATAAGGAAATATTTGTTCAGAAAGGTATAAAGTTTAATCTGGTTAAATGGAATAAACATGGATATTCATGTAAACCGGCGATTGATTATCTAAAGAGAAATGAAAAAGATATTTTCAATCAAAAAGAAGACCCAAAGGATTGTAATAAGCACGAGTGTATTCTAGTTATTTATGGCGAGTCCCCAAAAAATGACGAGGATCGCATCAAGTGGAATGAACAATGTGAAGACAGTGAAAATTCTGAAAATAGTAAAGACAGTGAAAATTCTGAAAATAGTGAACAGAGTGAAAATTCTGAAAATAGTGAACAGAGTGAAGACAGTAAAAATTCTGAAAATAGTAAAGATAGTGAAAATTCTGAAAATAGTAAAAATAGTGAACAAAGTGAAAATTCTGAAGAGAACAAAGAAATTAAAGAGATTAGAAGTAATCCAGAGCTCCTTAAAAAAGTGGTGTTTAACCATTTTCATGATATAGAGTAATTTCTGTCTAAGTGCTAATTAGTCATAATTTATTAAAAATTGAAATTACTTATATCTTACAATACATTGTTTTTATAACTTCTACTTACATATAACCCAAATTTCAGAAATTAGACAAGATTTTTAGTTTTATACAATGAAAGAAGCAGAATGTATTTACAGAATGTTACTAGTGGAATATGCATTAATAATAAAAAGTAATTTCTAAGAATTACAGGCCATTCGTAAATTTTAACTTTTATAATTCATAGTACGTATTTATAGACTGCAATTCCAATTTAATTTATACTAGATTTTCAGGTTATATGAAATTTTAATATGTCATCTATTTTTATATTAATCCGAGTGCAGTATAGAGTAATTAGTCTAATAAACATTGTCTTGAGTTAATTTGTTGCTAAAAATACAAAAATACTTAGAAATTTTACAAAATAAGCAAATATTTTTAATTTTAAAAACTCATGCAGAAAGGTGATTTCTTAGAGAAAGTCATTATGATACTTTAATGTTTGTTGAATTTTGAATATGTATTTATATATCGTATGATTAATTTAATTTATACTGTCATGTTTATGCAAATATTCAGATGACTCATATATTACGATACTAATATTAGTCTTAGTATACAACGCAGAGTTCACAATATATAACAAGCTTAAAAATAAAGAAGTTCCCTGGGCCATATAAAATCAAATTATGATATACTATAAGTAACACGCATAAAGAAATAGATTAATCGTTTAAGTGGTGCTTATTTATAAACATGTCTGTATAAATTTTAATATAAGCACTAGGGATTAAATTAAAATTATTTCTTTCTTGCACAAGTTCGGGTTATATTAGAATAAGTGAACTATGCATAATTTATAAAAAAAATACTATTTATGGCTTACAGAATATATTTAAACTGTCAAATAAAACTATAAATATAAGTTAAAATTTAAAAAATTATAAAAATGAAGAATTACAAAATATCAACTAGAAGAATACTAGTATCTCGATATAGAGAAACATTTCAAAATAGACAATACTCTACCTATACTTATCTATTTCCTACACTCTTATTACTTGTTATGTGCTGTGTATTTGCAGAATCTGACCCAGATGTGCCCAAAGATGCATGCAGCTCTAAAGATACTTCTGAACTAGAATTAGCTAAGAATAGCGTGACAATAAACTTATATGGGCCTCTAAATCCAATTCTGTGGAATCTAAACAGAAAGACTCCTCTTATAACAAATATGAGGATGCTTCTATTGTTTTTAGAGCAGAATAAGGATATGCACAATCTATATATTAGTGCAAATTCTACTGTGGAGAGTATGCCTACTCCGCCGAGTACTCAAAAAAAGTCTAATTATAAAAACACTTTTACATGTTCTTATAAAAATGATTCACTACTTGGCTGGTATGTAAATGAGCTTCTAAAGACATGGTCTCTAATGTTTCCTTCCATGAAAGACACAGAATGCATAAAAAGCTCTGATAAAAATTCCTTTTATAGCGTGCTTGTGAAAAACTCAAAGGAAAAAAACGACTATATGTTCCTTGCCTCGTTACTACTTCTTTCAGAGGGGCTGCCCATTCCTTTGTATATTCAAAAGAACCCTAGCGACACAGTCATATCTCTAAAGTCCCCAAAACACTCTACAGATATTTTTAAAATTACTTTAAATACATCACAGCTAAATAACCAGCCGCACGATGTTATAAAGATAGTTGAATTTTTCATAGATAATCAAAAAAACAAAGACAATCTACACAGTCTATTCTTAGACCCATGTCTATATAAAGAATATAAAACCGGAAGGTTTATGCACACGCCGCATTTTCTTATACACACATATATATTAGAATACGTGTCTCCAAATGATGTATCTATCTTTAATAACATAGTGCATACGATTTTAGCTCTTAATAAAAGAAACACACCAAACTGCAGGTATACAAGAGTATATAATAGGTACTTTAGAAATCTGACAGATAAGGAAAAGGAGCTGCCATCTTCTAAGCCACTGAACTGTAATTACTCACTTTTAAGTATAGTGTATTATATAGATAGCTATTTTATCGTGGACGGCGTGAAAAAGCTATCTACTGAGAAAGCAGATGCTCTTTCTAAAATCAGCACATTTATTCAAAAAACAAAGAATACCATGCCTTTCTTTTTATTGTGCCGTAGCATAGACTCAATGGTAGACAATCCATTTTTTAAGCAGCGTGTTCCTTTGATATACAACCACGATATGCTGTATTCAGAGGATAGCATAAAAAACAATCTGTCTAGCTTTTTCTTTAGCACATTATTTACATCACCCGAAAATATCTTAAACCAGGCGTATGAAATACTTCTATATGCTATGAAAGAGAATCTGCCTATTGAGAGTGTTAGTGTTCGGCTTGTCCGTTTTTTGCTACAGTATGGGTTGTCTAGCAACATGAAAAAAGACCATCCAGTTTTTTCTCTTCTGCTGCTATTTGAGAAAATAGAAGCTAAGCAGCACGCTAGCCTAGAGCAGCCCTTTTCGTGTTGCAAAATAGACAAAATGACTCTGGAAGACATATGCACGGTATTTGAATATCTTTTGAAGAAAAAAAATCCTGATTTACTCTGCTTATTTATTTGCCACTGTGCAGAACATGTTGCCCCATCCTTTTCTCCTATAGATATCCTTATTACTGGTGTAAAAGACGAAAATAGAATAGATTTTGTCAAAGTCCTAACAAAAGATGGAAAAACCATGGAGTATATTATGCGCACAATAGAAGGCATTGAAAATTTGACTGATGATGCTTCTCAGATAGAAAAAGTAGTACAAAACCTATTAATGACAATAATTGGCCTGTCTTATACCACGGACAATGCTTTCGATAATATTATGCAGGAGTGCTTTGTTCTGCTAGAAACAAAATATATCAAATGTGGTGTGGATGCATGCAAAATTAGTGACCTTTCTTTGCTTATCTCTATACAAAAGGTTTTGAATCAAAAGGAGAGTCTTTTTGGCAGTCAGGAGAATCCAGCATGCTTCAACAAACTAAAAGGCCTGCTTCCGGCATATAAGAATACAATAGAAAATATAATTTTAGAAAAAACCCAAGATGAGATCATTTCAATAATAACCCACGTGATATGGCAGGTAAATGAAAATAGGGCAAAAGGGCTAATTTATGATTTAATCGACTTTCTGAAAAATTTAGAAGATAAGCCTATTGATACGATCTGTCCAAAATACATATACAAAATGCTTGGACCGCCAGATATCTGTAATGATTTGTATGATGGCTCATTAAAATATCTCTATCTGTTTAGCTCAGCAGACCGTTTATATAACAATATTGTTGCTAAAATTTATAAGATAATTGAGTATTTACCAAAAAAGAATGATGCTAAAAAAGGCACATCTTCCTGCATTCGGATTAATTCTTTAATAGACCGGGCAAGTTCAATTTGTTCCTTATTCAATACAACCAGCCAGGATTTTAAAGTACTAAAGAAAGAAATAATGGAAATTCAAAATATAGGAAGACTAAATAATATTTTGGATAGGGCGCATGCATTGGCAAGAATTTCAGATGAAGCAAACACAATAGTTAATGACTTTTTTGGGTTTAATATATACGCATGGTCGTATATTTCAGAATTTTTGTTGCCAAAATCAGTTTCATTTAGGCGTGATAAAATACATAAAATTCTATCTGGGCTAAAAAAAGGTATAAAAACGTTATTAGAATATAATACAAACAACTATGCTGATTTGGATGATCTTATGTACGCCCAGAAAGTCATCATGATTGATTCTAATATTATTAAAAGCAGCAAAACTATAAATGTCTATGCTAATAAGTTATATTTCAAATGGTTTAATCCTATAAAACAAATTAAATACACATTAGACAAGGAAAAGGAATCCTCTAACCCAAGCTGCTTAGAAAATTAAATTTTAAGCATATTCTAAAATATTTAAAAAGACAAAACACCCGCTATACGTTGTGGAACTGTTTCTACTTAACTCGACTAATTTCTATTGAGTTCTATTTTATAGTAGACAATTCCAAATTTATCCATAGAAGTTTATTATAAAAAGCATTTATTACATACACGCCAATCTGGCTCAAAATATTCTAAATTCTAGCTTTAATAAACAAATAGATAAGATAGCTTTATTTATAATTCAGTCTTTTAGTATCTTAATACTTTGTAATAATTGTTGCCAACAAATTAAAACCAAGATAAAATTTTATTAAACTAATTATTAATATATAGCCCCTTGGCAACAATAATATTAGAATTGAATACAACTATTTCTATAATATATAAATTACAGAGCATAATATGCATAGTGTTCAGTAATATGCCTCAATTTGACTCAATGCTTAAACATAATTGATTTTAAGTATAATCACTTGATTTAACTTTTTGTTATCTATGAATGTGTTCTGTTTCTTTTTGCTTCTCTCTACTTTTTATTGCTTCTACTATTCTAAATTATTTTCTTTTTATTTATATAAAGTGTACACATTATAATAAAATAATTTATCCTTTGCCTACAATAATAATAAAATAATTTATTATTGCAGAATAGAATATGCACAGAAAGAAAGCCCATGGGCATGGGATATGCATGTGCGGCCATATGCCTGCGTACACACCAGAACCCGTTCGATCTCTGAAGTTAAGCGCGTGACAGCTTTGATAGTACTGCGATGGGAGACCGCGTGGGAACACAGAGTGCTGCACTTTTTGTTCTTTGCCACTCTTAAGAAAGCAGTAATCGCAGAGTAGTACTATGCATTATTATAATAAGAGCGCGCTAGCATTAAATGAAACCAATAGTAGTGCAAGTAAGTTTGAGCCATTTAACATTAAAGAAACAATAAGGCCACCGGCTGTAGTATAAAAGAAGAGTACGGCAGAGAACAATAAGAGTGTATGCCTAATTTG